TTGGCGAACCGTCGGGGCTCGTCCAGGTCCACTTCCCGTGGGGCAGCTTCTGGAAGAAAGAGTTCATCATAAAGAGTCCCTCTTTCTCCATGAAGTCGGCCAGCTGGTGCCCCCTTGGGTTCCGTTGCCCTATTACAAATTTCCCTACTTTCAGCTCACCGTTCTCTCTTGTGCCTAGTTTTGCATTGAAGTCTCCCATTAACACCGTATATTGGGTTTTGGAGGAATGCATGGCTGTAGAGATATCCTCATACATTTCCTCCACCTCATCATTGGGGTGTGCCGAGGTTGGTGCGTAAACCTGTATGACCTTCAGCGAATACCGTTTGGTGATTCTGAGTATAAGGTACGCAACCCTCGTCGACACACTCTCAATCTTTACAACGTTGTTAACGAGAGACTTGTGGACGATAAATCCGACACCTCCTTGGGACAGATGGTCGTCCTCCCGGTGATAGAGCAAGTTGCCGGATTCGAGGATTACCGTGTCCTCCCCCTCTCTTCGGACTTCGGATAATCCTATATTATGCCAGCGCAACTTGTCTATCTCTTCTTCCAGCTCCACGATCTTCTCGTCAGTCCTCAGGGTGCGTGCGTTGTACGTTGCCAGGTCGAGTCGTCTAAGGTGGCAACCGAACCTCCACCGGAGATTCTTAGCACCCCCTGCCCCGCCGTTACCATGGTCGCCACCGTAGCCAGGAATAGCGGGGCCGCCGGGGACTGGAGGCCGTCTGTTTGTGGCTTTAATAATTGGGGCGTATTTGCCATAGTTGCCACGCTTGGCGAGCGGGTTGGCAACCGCAGTTTTTTTATTGTTATTTTGGCTATTATCAGGAAGATGCTGCTGCCCATCTCCTGCCTGTTTCCCTTTGTCGCCTTTTACGACACCCACGGGTGTCATATGTCATATGATATGGGGTAGTGAATATTCTTGACCGCCACTACACGGCTTCCACTCTAAGATCTATTTATTATGTAACTCTTGTAATCACTATTATCCGATTTGTTAAGAGTCCAAAATATTTCGAGTCACTGAAGACGGCAGTCCAAACACTCTGTACAAATACGAGTATTTTAAACATTTATCTCGACAATATTGCGTAAGTTTTCTTACACAATAAACTCCGTACGAGAGACAACAAAACTTATAAAAGCTAGTTGTGTCTCTATAAAGAGCTGGGTGTATCTCTCAGATAATTCAAGAAGTCACAAACTTATAACTGTAGTAATATTATTTACTGATTTGTTAATATTAGTATTATTTTAACAGACTGAAAAAGACGGAGGTTTTCAATTCGACTTAATTTTCTTTTTTGTATGTGCGCATGTGACTTTCCTTCCAGAAAACGCAGTAAGCAAGTTATAAAATTAAAAACTTTGTACATCCAACTTCAATATAAATAAAATAAGAACATGAACAATGTAGTCGGAGTCAATAAATACGCATTATTAAGGAAAACTTAAAAACTACTAGTCATATCTTAATACAATTTATATGGGACCATATAAAATGCAGCTTAAAATAAAAAAAAAACAATCATAAAATCAGTTCACCTAGAAAAAAGTTCTGAGCCTTTGCCACTTCAGCTTACTAATCCTTTGGGCTATGTCGGTCACTCTGTTTCTATTGCGGATATCCCCATTTCTAAGTTTATCACGCAGAGAAACTCCGAGCATAGCCCTCTCCATAGCTCGGTGAGCGACTTTGAGCTTCCTCATACGGCCAGCAGTGAAGGACCACGTCTCAGTTCCATAGATCATCACTGGCAACACGCACTGGTTGTACAGTCTCGTTTTCAAGGTTTAGGGTATACCTGACTAGAAGATGTGCCGTAATTTCCCGAACGCTGCCCAACCGAGTTGAATCCGTCGATTGACCTTTTGGTCGAAGTTGGACTTACCTAGTCGGACTATTTGTCCCAGGTACATACTCGTTAACAACTTCGAGCTTAGTGCTCCCAACAAGTAGCGGCATAGGTGTGAAATGGACATTAAACATGATCTTTGTTTTGTCAATGTATATATAAGAAAATAATATAGAATAGATAAATAAGAAATAGATATTATATAGTTCTAACATTTTCTTGTTTGTGGTGTAACTTCCGTTGCTGACAAATTTTCGCAAAATTCTTTTATTAAATTTATTATTATCTATACACAGGACTATTTGCTGCAACCACACTTTCTGTTACACAATTATATTGTACAATTCGGCTCATGAGCTTGAATTATTTGGATTTACTACCCCTTACTCCACTTCCGAAACAAGAAATACATGAAGTTACACTAAAATTACAAACGTGTTCCGTGCAATTATAATATACCAATGTTTCTGTACTTTGAGAGGACCTTAGTGTATATCATTTTCGGTGTTGATCATCCACTTTGGAGGGTGATGACTGCTACAAGCATCATACTTGCAACTGCAGTACGAATGGGTTTGGTCGACCGCGGAGAGACCACTCTCACACAGAATTCGTTTCTCATTCGCCAGCGTATAGTTCCGCGAGCAACTCTGAAGAATAACAATGAAACTGTGTTTTGATTTTAAATCCAGTATGGATACGGTAATATTGATCGATAAGCCACAGCACTTCCACAACTAAAACGATTCTAATGACACCCTTTAATATTTTATAATCCGTCAAGCCGCTTAGGCTACAGATAGTGCCAAAGAGATAGACATATATACACTCGAAAATCATTACCCTCCTTCTGGGACAGTCGGGTAAAAATATATTCATTGATATTTATCGAATAGAGAAAGATTTATTGTTATAAAAATATCAGATTTAGCGAATTTGTGCTAAAAACCACAGATTAAGCAACTACTAAATAACGTACCTAAAGAATTCTCGCAAGTTTTCCAAAAGAAATAAACCCTTAAAATGGAAGCAACTAACAACATAAAAGACCAGTTACCTGCAAGCAAAGGAAGAGCTTTTAGAGCGTATTGCTTTTTTATTCGACGAGTTTTGTGCGGATACTCAACGTCCAAATAACGTTGTACTTCCCTTGGACTGAGATATAAAGCGTTCTTAAGCCTCGCGGTTACAGTAGCGAACGTTACTTTCCTATTATACGGACTCGAGCTTAACTCGTTTGGAATCCGTTTAAATTGTTTTATTTTATTTTTATTTTTTATATAAAAAGGGTGACAAACGATGACACAGTCAACCAGATAGTAAGTCGATGTTGAAGCCCAATTAAGAATCAAAATGCTGATGCTTTGTAACCTCTGACATCTAAGATAAAATACTTCGTTTTCAGTACAAAGGGTATCTACACTCGCCATACGAAATACTTACTCTGTTTTGGTTTGGTGATTTATTTCATTAAGCATTTTTTTTAACCTGGTGCTCTGTGAGGGTGACGTCCTTCCCCGGCGAGCCAACCCATTCGTTCTACAAGCATGATTTAACTGCAGCTGATAAAAAAAAATATATGATATTCATACGTTTTTACTCCAATTGCTTGCTTACTTGTATTAGGATTTTTATTCTCTATATTTATCAGCCCGTTTTAGTTCTCAGCTGCATTTATTCAATCACCATTTATGATGTCTTGGACAAGATACACAGGGCCCACTTTGTTTTCTAATTCCCACATATCAATTAAAATTAAGACCTTAAGATTTAGATTTAAAAAAAAACTATACGTTGGGTTGCATATGACAATGTTGATTAACGAAGTTCTGTATTTATTTATTTTTTGCACTTTATTGTAGCCCTTAATAAAAAGGATAACAAAGGGCGGACTTAAATGCCTTTTGGCATTCTCTCCAAATCAACCCAGGACTTGTGGAAAATAATGTGATATGTGCCAAGAATAAAATAAACATTGTGGTAAATAAAAACAAATCTACTGAAAATCAAAAAAATAGAGTTAATATTATATATATAAAAATAAACAATACACACACATTATATATAACATAAGCCTATAAATAAAAATACAACAATGATAACCAAATGGACCATACTAACCACCATCTGATATCTTCATAAAGTGTTCACGAACCAATCTTTTAAAGGCAGTCTTATTATAAAGGTATTAAATATTATGTTTTCTGTTTGACCTGGAACTAGAAAAAATGCCTTATGGCCTTATGTTAGATTTTGTGCAAATAAAGCATATATAAATGGAAATTGTAGTGTTTTTCATCTTAACCTTCCTATACTCGCGCCAATTTTTGTAACACCTATACTCGCGCACGGTCTCACAGACTGATGGTTCGTACCCCTATAAAATATTTTTTTACTATGAAGCCCAAAAAATATTATTATCAAAAAAAACAAACAAAGTAGTATGAATAATACTTAATTTATTAACTATTTTACTGAACTTCAGTCTATCACAAATCAGTCTTCGAATTTGAGATTTTTTTTTCTTAGTATTAGGTAAACAAAAATAAAATCGGTACTTCTTTATAAAAACAAAATAAACTTCTAAACATTAATAAACAACATATTAAAGCACACATTTATCTATATTTGGCTTAGTTTTGACCCTCACCATAACAATCAGAGCATACGGTTACAGCATGTTCCAAACAAAAGTATTTTTTGCAGGTGGCACAGTTGTGACGTGTCTTGCGGTTTTTTTTGATGAGCAGTATCCACAACGACCAATTTTATTATTGTTAGATGTTGCTGAAGACCCGAGTCTATCTAATTTACATATTTCGGCGAGCTAGCCTGAGCTTTATGGTTCTTGGCAAGGTAGTGAGAGCCCGACTTCTAAGTTGCGGATTGATCAGATCGTATACTAAGGTTTCAAGAAAGATCCTACGGCTAATATTCTTGGTAGGGTTGTTGTGCAGGTATATTATAAGCGTATTTATAACCGCTATTCATAAGGCTATAAAATACCACCATTGGCCATCTATTTGTACCACGTGCAACGTTGTAAGTCTCACACATTTTGTCCACGTTATCAACTCCACCTTTGGTTCTATTGTAGTCCATTATCATTTCCGGTTTATCTGTATCTTCATTGATCTATGCATCATCAAGCATGCTGGATACAAGAAGAACATTTTTACCTTTTTTCGGTACATAGGATAAGGACAAGAGTGCAATTGCCTCGGTGCCCGAATAAACTGGACTTTTCGGCTCTTCCTCGTATTTCCGTGAATTGTTCAGGTTTTCCCTTTTTTTTTGACGAATCGTCCCATTAACTGTCAATTTGTGGTGAGACTCAAGCTTATTTAGCAATGGAATACTAGTGAAGAAGTTATTACATGTGATATTACGCCCAGAATTGTAAATACTTTTACTCAATCGCAAAACCCAAGCCATAGCGGAGTTGTCAAATTGATACGGACCGTTTGGTTGCCTTCCAATGTAAACTTCCATGGTATGGGTATAAAATATTTTGGCATCTGTCAACGCATAAATTTTTATTCCATATTTGTTGGGTTTCGATGGAATGTGCTGGCGAAAGCTACAACGTCCTCAAAAACCCTCTAATTTTTGGTCAATTGTAACATACTGAGACACACTGTAATACTTTTCGAACGCTCTTACAACTTCATTAAACAACTCTCTAATAGGTGCCAGTTTATCCAGATTAATTCTCTCTTCTCACGTATCTTTCTTGTCAAATTTCAGACAACGCATCAATAAATAGAACTTGCTAAAGCTCATAGTCAATTAAAATATCTCCGGGGATGACCCGTCCGTTTAAAAAAAATCTTTAGCATTTAGTTGACCGTTTCTTCTGAATCCAGCAAACAGTAAAAGACCTAAAAAAATTATTCTTGCTTCAATTTCAATGTTATCTGTATTGGAACAGTCTTTTTCTCTTATGAAATTAGGTTTCAATCGATTAATTTGATCATTAATGAACTTTACGATCAGATTTATAGATCCCTCCGAGAAAAAAGCTTCCATAGCTCACCTGGTTCCTTCAAATTTCTGGCTTCACCTCTAGCGCCTGGAAGTTGAGTAACTATGTTTCTAGCATGTCGCCTGGTTGGGTTTAAGGCAGGAGATTTATTTCACTCTGTCTGTCCATCGTTTCCTAAGTAAAAATCGCGGGAACTTTCACTACCTTCCACCTCATATTATTTATTGTCGTTCTATTGCTTGGTGTCCTATGTCTCTTCTTGTACCTCCACATAGTCTTCTGCATCTCTGTCATTTTCGTCTTCATAGCTAGAACCAGAACTTGATTCCTCCAGCAGCAATCCGATTCGATCATTGTCCATTTTGATATGAAGTATAATCTAAAAAGAATAAAAAATCGATGAAAACATAATATAGAGCAACATATGATATGACTTATGTAAAGTAATATGTATGTATAGTTTATGCCCAAATTTGGTCATTTTTGAACGCCATCCAATTGCGTTCGAGCTGGCGCGTCACCCGATGGTATGTGGGTGAAAAAAACGCCGCCAGGTGGGGCGGCCGTGTGCGGCTTGCATTGGCTCGACGCGTGGGCGAAGAAACGAGTAGCTCGCTGGCAGCTATGCGGTGAATCGATTATCGTGGCCGAAGTTCACGCGACCGTGTAGGGTCCAGATAGTTAGATATAGTGCGTGTTACTTGGCTGCGTGGTTATGTGAATTTTGCAATATTTAACTTGTTCGGGTGATGCGGAATTGTGCACGCATGCGTCGAGTAGATATACGGTCTAGGATTAGAACCGCGCATTCCTTGGTCGAGAGCGTCTCCTCGTTGATTGTCTGGAAATCATTATAATTGTGCCGTCGCGTTAAGTGCCCTTTTTTGTGTGTTGGTTGGTTTGTTAGTTTACGTGTCAACGAGGCGTATTTTGAATTCTTTTCGCGACGTGGTGTTTTGGTGTCGAATGAAGGAACTTAGTTGTGTTTAACACTGAACCGTGTGACTTATTAAGAGATCGCGTTAGTTCCCTATTTATAATTTTGTGATAAGTGAATCCGGGACATTGAATGTCGAATTTTTAACTACTGTCCTTACTGTGTCGTGTATCACGTGTTCGATTCTACGACGAATGTGGAATTATGCGAGTTTAATTTAGTTAAATGTATAATGAAGCAAATAGTGACAATGAAGAAAGAAATGGTCCAGCGGTGGAGCCTGCTGGAGCGATGCAGCATTGCGTGGCAGCCTGGATTTCGGCCGCTGCTGGTCACCTTAACTTGTCCAGGTCTCAGACATTTACACATCACTAAACACTACTTGCCATTCACCTTACACTCACTTACGGCCTGACCGAGCCTTGGGGCGATCTAAGAGTCGGAAACAGGTACGTACTATATTTCCCTAGCCTTCTCCCACATAGCTTAGTATTATAGGTAATTTTTCCATATGGCCATTGGGTCCGACCTGTGTCTGCCCGTCGAGGTAGCTGCTATGGGCCCCAGACAAGACTACCTTTGCAGGGGCAGCTGTAGGCCGTAATATGTATATTACATACATTTAACTATAAATACGTCAATAAGTATTCAAAGTTTTTAAAATATAGCATAGTGCATTTATATGCACTAAATATATTACATTAATACCTACACAAAAAGTAGCACCTATACTCGCGTCAGTCTCACGCACCGATTGGTGCCAAATGCTACAACACGTGTGTACACTAAAATGAAGTTAGCAACAAATCCGGCAGCTAGCAAGGAAATCAACTTCCAAGGATTTTCGTACATAAAAATAATTACGAAAATGTGTTTTGCCGTTCTCACAGACAAACGCGCGAGTATAGCTACAACAAAATTATACTTAATTTTATTTTACAATTTCGACCAAACAATCTGGAAGTAATTGCAACTTTTAGTTAAGTACATTAAAAGATAAATTACATTATGTATATAATTGTATTCATACAAATGTATATGCCACTACATTTGCACAAAAATGAAATAAACATGTTTGTTGTAATAGAAAATATAAAAGTTATTTTAAAGTGCATTTTCAAAATTTTGATATCAGCTTCAATGCCTGTGCTTATGACACGAATAGTTAAAATATAAAAAAAAACAGCCGGCAGCAAAAGTTTGATTTTCTGTATCATGCATCAGATCATAATTTTAGATACGAAAATGGAATACTATTTTAAATTCAGACTGTTACGTTCTATAAGAGCATTAAAGTAAAAATTTAAATATAAAAATGTATATTTTTAATTGGATTAAAAAATTACCTGCAACAAATTCTAAATTTGCTGCCTAGTTGATGAAAAACATAAGGGTTAGTTTTCTTTCTGATACTCAACAATAATCTCTGCAGGTTGTATATGCTCTGGTACTGATAAACCATTATTAAGTGAAAGGATACAAGGCAAATTTGATACAGCTATTTCTGATTCAGTCGTTATTAGTCGTTATTCTTAAAATATTTGGTAATTCGGTGTGATAGCACGGAACGGTGATCATCTATATTGACTTGCTGTGATTTCGAGGGCATCGGACACTTTGTTTAATCCACTTTGTCTGGACTAAATGGGCACAACCCACATGTCTCAAAACCATTTCATAATGTAGATTTATTTCAATACGGTAAGTCTTACTAATATAGGCCCGCATCTATTTTAGTAACCTTTTTGTCAAATTGTTTGTCCGTCATTCAAAGACAGGCTTACGCCACATATTTTTGGTGGGCCGAAATGCAGTGATATCAACTGGCTGCAATAGTCGCCTTGCATTCAGCTTAAGGGTTATAAGTATTATGGCGAGACTTGGGCAAAGTTGCGCCGTATTTAAGATAGTAAATAACCCTCTCTCTTGGCACTAACTTTTGAACGTCTGATCATATTTTCTATAGGAGGAAAATAATAGGTTTTACCATCTACTCCAAAGAACAGTGATGCAAGACTTCGATTAGGCATTATCCAACTCATAGACGTTATTCTCCATCTATAAAACGGTTTAGTATGTATTGGGTATTTATTCAAAAACCTCACATCATTGACATTTTTATGACAGCTTTTAAAAAACTGTGCCATTTTTTTGACTTTACTTATTTAGTGGAATCTGTAAATTCGCGCGAGGAATGTTAAATGTTAGTGCGTCAGTTATTTTTCTAAAGCGCCCGCTCTTAGCGGTCTAATAGCGGTATTCTTCATCAATTCAATATATGAAAAAGGTCAGTCATAATCATTGGCACTACTCAAAGGATATAGTCATTGGCAGTGTCAAGAATAGATTTTGGACAATAAAAGAAAGTATAGTGATTAACATATATGCCAATGGTTATGTAGTCAAACAAAGTAAAGTATAGTCGTTGGCACAATTAAAAAAAACAATGCTTCTATTTCAAAACGATAAAATAACGTTTAATATGCTTTAATGATGTAAAGTAATAAAAATAGACAGAAACTTGCATATAAACTAACCTAAAAATCACATTTTTTCTCAAAATCTAGCCACAAAACATTAACTTTTTGTTAAATTTTAACGGATTTGTTCGCACACATTTTTAAAACAGCCCTTATAGGAAAACAGTTGACGCTTTAAGTATAAATGTGTATTGTTAGTATAAGTATTATATATCTTGGCAATATCTGTGTAGCTGTGATATAGAAAAAAGAAAACATTCTTAATATTCAGATTAAAATAGTGAAGTGCCAATCATTGAAGGAGTGCCAACATTAGTACTGTTTACACTACTTTGTAAAATTATTTAATTAATTGTTTTTAATTTATTAAGCTAAAGTGACACAGGAACTTGCAGTCTATCCGATAGTTAATGGCTATTGCAAACCATGGACACCTGTAATCAACTTCAAAACAAAGGAGGCTACAGATGGAATGCATCACAACCTGTAATAAGACATCTTTGTTTTTAGTTGGTTGCAGGTGTCCGTGTACTGCAGTATAAATGGTTACCATAAGGTATACTGTAAGTTCTCTTGTCACCTCAGTTTTATAAAAAATAATCTTTTACTGTCATTTTGGTGTCGATCGACTTGTGATCATTAGAACTATGTGGAACAGAGAAAATAAAAATATTTTAAACACATGTGAGTCTGCAGACTTTACTAGGTTATACTGTAATCTCTACCAATTTCTATTCCCAAGCAGAATTACGCGCACTGTAGTGTTCCGGTTGTAGTGTCAAAATGCCAGCACATTTATAGGCTGTGAAATATACAACCTTAGTCCTCAGAGGTGACAACGTATCTGTAGCATTGTTTGTTTGAAATTGGTTGCAGGTGTTCATGGGCCGTAGTAGCAGTGGCTAAGTATGGTAAGTGTATCATCAGGTTGATTGTTCTGTTGATTGATTCTGTTTCATACAAAAAATACGAAAACCTTTCCAAAATGAGATAAAATGCTTGTGTTCAACCATGAGACGTTACTTTACTCTTATTAAATTTTACATTTATATCGACACCACAGAGTCAGTAATTTACTCTTGAGGCGATA